TTTAAATCCCAATTTAAATCAGTAATAAAAAGGCTTGGTTGAAATCAACTCGATTTAAATCGTAATTTTTAAAGAGCAGGTGTCATCTCTGCTCCCCCTCGGACCTGCTGTTGACTCACCGACAGTCCCAATATTGCAGATTATACAGCCTCTCATGCTACATCACGAAGCTCCGTCTCATGCTGAATAAACTAAATTACTAAGGTATCTTAAATAGAAAACTAACTTTAGATTTTTACTCCAAAAATACATTTGAGAAAAATAAAAATAAATCCAATTTAAAATTTAAAAAAACCTGATTTTAGATAGATGATAGATAGATAGATAGATAGATAGATAGATAGATAGATAGATAGACAGACAGACAGACAGACAGACAGACAGACAGACAGACATAGATACCGTATTTTTCGGAGTATAAGACACACCTTTTTCCTTTAAAAAAGAGGGTGAAAATCTGGATGCATCTTATACACTGAATACAGCGTTTTTGGCTTCCCGAAACCCTGCCCCTTTGCAAAAATGGCCGTGCGTAGCCTTTAGGAGGCTTCCAGGGTACTCCTGGGGGCTGGGGAGGGCAAAAATGAGCAAAAAATGGACCGTTTTTAGGAGGTCGGCAAAGTGCAAAACCTTTTTTTTTTTAATTTGCCTCTTCAAAATCTTGGTGCGCCTTATACTCTGATGCGTCTTATTCTCCGAAAAATACTAGATCGATAGACAGACCGATAGGATATAGATAGATAGATAGATAGATAGATAGATAGATAGATAGATAGATAGATAGATAGATAGATAGATAGATAGATAAAATTATAGATAGATGATATATAGATGATAAAGAGATGATAGATAGATAGATAGATAGATAGATAGATAGATAGATAGATAGATATAGATAGATAGATAGATAAATTATAGATAGATAGATGATAGAGATCGATAGAGATGATAGATGATAGAGATGATAGATCATTATAGATGATAGATAGATATAGCTAGATAGAGATGATAGATGATAGATGATAGAGATGATAGATAATTATAGATAGATGATATAGAGATGATAGATGATAGATGATAGAGATGATAGACAATTATAGATGATAAATATAGCTAGATAGAGATGATAGATGATAGATGATAAAGAGATGATAGATGATAGATAGATGATAGATAGATAGACAGACAGACAGACAGACAGACAGACAGACAGACAGATTTTTATCCACCTTGCTCACATGCCTAACCAAATGNCAAGTTGTGAAGTTCCCCGCGCTTTAAGTTGTGAGGTGGGACAGGGGAGGCTTTAAGCCTCGGCCCACTTGAGGGTCCTAACCAGGATGGCTCCCACCCCCACATCCAGCAGAATTGCCCTCTGGGTGCGGACTGCAGCCGTCACAAAGTGGGACAGACGACAGATCAAGGCCCCATCCCCCTCCACAAAATGCACCCCGTTACAGCTTGGTTATGCCTCCCCAACTCCCCAAGTTTGACTTTGAAGCACAACAATCTTCTAGCCCTGTTTCTTTTGAGTTTAGTCGTTAAATGCAAAGCTGTTTTGGGGGGGCACACCCGCTCGTGAGCTCCCTCTCTGCCTCGTGAGAAATGTGGCTCGGGTTTCCAGAAAGCCAGCTCTACGTCCTTTTGGGGGTTAACTATGTCAGCCTTGGCAGAGATTCTTCTGCACCGAAGGGGTCCCCATCGCGTATTTAAAGGAACAATGCCCCCCCCCTCCCCGAGAGGCTCAGCTGGTCCCTCACCCTGGAGAAAGGCTGTGGTGGGTGCGGCTCGTCTCCAGCACACACAGCGGCTCGGTCATGTTTCTAGTGCTCAAGGAGAAGCGTTCGAATTCCGACGGAGAGATCAAGTAGAAGCCTGCAACGGGAACAGAAAAAAGAGATCCACTTGCAGGCCTCTCTCCCCCCCAAATATTCACAGCAACACGAAAGCAGAGCCTGTTCCCATGGAAGGAGAGACCCCCTTCCTCACCCACTCTGCATCTGGCAGCCCCCCTGATTCTTAAAAGATAAACTTCTTCCAGCCAAGGAGGCTCGGTTTAGCTGCTGGCTAACTTCTCTCCCTTCAGCAGCCCATCTGGTCCTCATTCAACAACGGTCAGAGTTGCCTTGTTCATCTTTTGAGCCTTGCGGGGTTTTTTTTTAAATTAAATCCTTTACAGTTTTGTAACTTTTTTTTTAATTTTTATTTTATTTTATCAATTTCATATATACATTCACAATTATATGATCTCATAACTGTTATTAATAATATGTATTTATAACCATTTTTCCTACTGTTGACAATATACTTGAAGATTGCTTTTTTAACATCCCATAGATCCATCTTATCTTACAACGGTCCTACTTCTTCCCTCCCTCTTTCTTTCCTTCCTTCATTTCTTCTCTCCTACTCCCCTTCCTTCCCTCCCTCCTTCCCCTTCCCTCCTTCCCTCCTTCCTTCCCTCCTTCCCTCCTTTCTTCTCTCCTTCTCTTCTTCCTTCCCTCCTTCCTTCCCTCA